GGGCTTGGGGTTCAGGGCTTAGGGAAGGGCTCAACCCAAAAGACAGGTTGCGGTCTATAGTAAGCTCTGACAAAATTACATAGGCAGTTTGGGATCATAAGATTATGCGCAATCAGGGGTGCAGGGCTAATACGTGTATAATACATATATAAACACACATATGCATGCTCAAGCTCATGACTCATGTGTTCCCCGAGGCGCTCGTCGACGTTGTGATCAAGAAAGCCGCAATTCTCCGGTGATAGCTCTGGGTGTTGGCTAACTTTCTGGATTGGCATCCAGTCCTGAGATAGGTAGCATCCCAACAAAACGGGACGCGCACAAAATGTTATAATCCCTATGTAATTACATTTTCTTGTCCATTATCCTTATATGACCCCATGTTAGCCCAAGATAGCCCTGTATAACCAAATACAACCCCAAATAGACTGAATTTCCAATACTGGGAAGGAGGGCAACTGTTGCTGGAACCATGGCCACGGCAAAAGGTTTAAAGGGTTTAGGATATGGGTGGTTGTCAAAATTATGATCCTTTTTGGAGTACCCTAAATATTAGGTGCCGCATTATAATAGGGACCCCAAACAAGGGACCATAATTGTGACAACCACCCATATGTGCTATAGTCTAAACTCCTAGTATCCCCCTTGGTAACCCCTATACTACTCCCCTAATAATCCCTTATATAACCCCCTTTTAAGGAGTTTAGACTATAGCTCATGTAGGGCTTAGGGTCTCTTATTACTTCATCGAGGAGCTGTTCTGAAGCGCCACGCTTAAGACCCAAAGGGTCCATGTAGGTATATGGTATATACTTAGGGCCCAAAAGGGTTCCCATACACCTACTTTAAGGCCCAAGTATATCCCACATACCTACCTGGACCCTTAGGGAGAGGGTCTTGATGAGCCGCCGGAGCCCGAACAACTTCTTTCCTTGGCCAACCTACCAGAACAATAGCTAACCCTAAAGGTCCAAGGACCCAAATAATAGGGTTTAGCGTTTAGGGATTAGGGTTTAGGGTTAAGTGTCGAAGGACCCAAATAATAGGCTGTAGCGCCCAAATACCAATAATATTCCAGTATTTTGGCACTAAAACCCCCATTATTTTCGTCCTTGGACCCTTAGGGTTTTCTATTTCAATAAGAACTCTAAAATCGTCCTTGGACCCTGAGGGTTCTACACCACAGCTTTTGCATTGATATGTTGTTAATCTCCGCGGGGGCCCTTGGGACTCTGGTGTGAGAAGTCCAAGGCAAGCGGTACTTTGCCTAAACCCTAACCCAAAGGGTTTAGGGTTTAGGGTTTTAGGGTTTTAGGGTTTAGGGTAGGTATATGGTAGATACTTGGGCCTTAAAGTAGGTACATGGGAACCCCTTTGGGCCCTAAGTATATACCATATGCCTACATGGACCCTTTGGGTAATCCTCTCAACCCTAGACCCTATACACAGCGAGTACTTCCCTGAGTCGAGCGTTTGTAGCTTCGAGCAGAAAGGACGAACATCTACAAACGACGAACAAGCAAGAAGGAATCCTGTACCCTCACTCACTCCAAAGGGTCCATACAGGTATGTAGTACCCAAAGGCTCCATGTAGGTATATGGTATATACTTAAGGCCCAAAGGGGTTCCCATATACCTACTTTAAGGCCCAAGTATCTACCGTATAGCTACATGGACCCTTTGGGGTAAGTACTGAGGGCACAAAGGTTCCCCTATAACTACTTCGGGGCCAATGTACACTATATAGCTTCTTTGGCCTTTGACTTGACCCTTTGAACATCTAAACCAGAAATCCTGAACCCCAGGCCTGAAAAACCTAAGCCCTAAAAAAGCATAACCGAAATTGGCCCTAAATCCTTAAACCCCATACTCTACACCTACATTGACCCTTTGGATTCCAAAGTTTTGCGAGCTGCCGGGTGATCCGCGTAACGTTCAGAATCCGGCTCATAATCATCGGGCGGTGTCAGCTGAATCAGCAAGCACTTGCCTGCAGCCCTCTACCCTCAATCCCTACCCCTATAGTCCCCCTTAAGTAGATAGAATATGGGGTATATGAGGATCTTATGATCTACCCAAAGCCATATTCTATCTACTTAAGGGGGACTATAAACCATGTGCCCTAAACCGTGTATGGGCATGCGTTTGAAGCCGCCTTTCTGTTGATACCACCACCAGGAAAATGGCCAAATTGAGAGCTAAATGAGCTATAGTCTTAACTCCTTGAAGGGGGCTATATAGGGGATTCTATAGGGGAGCATTATAGGGCTTATTAAGGTGGATACTAGGAGTTTAGACTATAGCTCAAATGGAGAAGGACGTGAAAACTGGGTTGTATCGTGGGCTAGACAGGGATCTGAGTAGTGGTTTTTGGTGGTTTTTCCCAGTAGAACTGTCCTTTCTTGTAGAGCACTAGAACCCAAAAGAGCACATACTCTTACGCTGTTTAGAGGAGTACCAGAGTATCCAATAACAAACCCTTCTCCAGCCCCTTTTCCCACACGACCGATGACGAGCTCAGAAAAAGACCAAGCACGTTCTAATCCAAATCTTCAAAGTTTATACAGGATGCTAAATTCTACGCGCTCAACCTTAAACCCCCTATGAGCTAGAGTCTAAACTCCTAGTATCCCCCTTAATAACCCCTATTATACTCTCCTATATAACCCCCCTTGAGGACTTTGGACTACGGCTCATGTCTTGGACCTTGAGCCACTAAGGCTGGTCCAGGTATATGCCAGATAGGCTCCTTACCCAAAGGGTCCATGTCGGTATATGGTTACTTAAGGCCCAAAGGGGTTCCCATGTAGCTACTTTAAGGCCCAAGTATCTACCATATAGCTAACATGGACCCTGAAGGGTTAATAGCAATGCAAGCTGCGATATTTCCGCCAGAACACGAACCTGGAGTCTTCTAGAAGCCACCGCGATGGGTAATCCGACTGTGTCATCACAAAGTAGGCCATGATAGCCACTATGAACCTGAACTTTCGGGTTGGGTTCGTAGGGTTTTGGGTTTGGGGGTTTGAGCGGTTTAGGCCCTGGTTTGGGGGAGTAGGTTTTATAGGTTAGATTATGGGAAGCTGCCACAGGGGCCGAAAGAGTTATCCTTATCCTTTTAAGCTCTGCTTGAAGCATTCTATACCATAACTCGTTAATTAATCCGGTATCATGACAATTGTAAGAACTCAGGATTGTTCAGGCCCCCGCATCTCGGCATCCTGCTATGAACCTATGGACCCCCTGGCCCAAAGAAGTATCAGGCTCGGTAAGTATGACTCTATAGCAGAAGTTACAAGCTATAAGAAACTGTAGGATATCATCACCCATTATAGTAACTGCCAGCTTCTTTTCCATTCCCCCTATGTTCTATCTCCCCTATATACCTCTATTGGGGTTATAAGTTGGGTTTTCCCTTACCTAGGTTCCAGGTGTCCCTGAACCCGGAATATCCCAGCATCAAACCCTTCACCCTGAAACGTTGAACCAGTTGAACCCTGAGCATCCCAAGCCTAAACCCTAAACCCTAAACTACCTAAACCCCAAGCCCTGGAGCCTTGAACATACCAGCCCCAAACCCCTATAAACCCAGGGTTTCAGGCTTTAGGGTAACCCACACCCTAAACCCTAAACCCTATTCAGAGAGCCAGTGAACATGGCCAGCTTCTCGACGAGGCCGCAACAAGCTGCCCGCACCGACTTCGTATGGTTTGGTGCCATCAGGGAAGCAAAATACCAAACCTATTTCAAAGGGCCAAGGGGAAAACCGGGATACTTCCCAATACTATTTACTAACAATTGTTCTGCCAATATTGCATAACTTACCCCAAAACTATTTACTAACAATCGTTCTGCCTCTAATGCATAACTTACCCCCAAAGCCCTATTCGAAGTAGCTAGGCTCCTACTCAGAGTTCGGCGCCCGACCTCCTGGTTGAGCCAAACTCAAAGCCAACGCAGCGTTACCTACTTCACCGACGCCAAAACCTTAACATTAATTCAGCGCGATTTTCGGTGTGGGGCTTAGGGCTTAGGGTTCGAGGTTTAGGTATTCGTTACAGTTTGCTATTTGCCCTAGACCTCCTGTTGCAGGTTCTCTGCATGCTGAGGTTCCCAAAATCCCGAAGGTAATCCATTTTATGTAGGGGTGTATGGTCGTTTCCCCAAGTTACAAGTACCTTTTGGCGTGTTCCTATCACAATGTTTATAATATGTTGGTGCTTTTGTTGGGGTCCCTCTATTTTGGAAAACTATCAAATAGAGGAATGGAGAAGCAAATTGAAACTGCTATAGGGCTTAAGGCTCAGGAGGGCTGACGTTTAACACACCCACAGACTTGAAACCATTCTGTTCCGGATGTATCGGATCTCTTACGGGGAACATATAGTCTGAGCGGTGGGGCGGTCGTTCAATTCAACTTTTAAACCCTGAACCCATATCATCTTGGTTGGCCTTTAGAGACCCTTGAAAAATATTAGTATAGATGGGTCCCTATAAAACCACTAAGGGAAAATATTTCAGGAACCCAAAGGCCTACCCAGTCATTATGAAGGGATGACTAGGTATTGACAAGCTGTAGGGCAAAAGTTAGTCTTACTGACAGACTGTGAACCCTAGGGTCAGCTTGCAGCAGCTCATGGCTTTTATATGCGCCCCAAAGGGTCCATGTAGGTATATGGTATATACTTTGGGGCCCAAAGGGGTTCCCATGTACCTACTTTAAGGCCCAAGTATCTACCATATAGCTACATGGACCCTTTGGGTGCCATGTCGCATAATGTTGCACCCTATCGTCGTTGTCTGGCCCCTTAACCCGGGAAGTTTGGGGGCGGAAGTCGCCCTGTTTTGTTTCGGGCACTCCATTAGTATCGGCGGAAAACCCGTCGAAGCCCTGCAGCATTCCTGCAAGAAAGGGCTGCCTTGGGAGGCTGGGACCTGGCAAGGGGTACTTGGATGGATGAGCTGTATTCAGCGCCCTGGTGCGTTTATGGAGGCACCTTGAAGTTATGGGCTCTCCTAACCACATCCCCTACAGGACCGCCCCCTACAGTAATTAGCCTTAATCCAATCTTGGGATACCAGGAGATCTGCACGTTGTTTGGGATGTTTTCAGGTGTTTAGGGTTTAGGGTTTATGGTCTACGGTTTAGGGTTTCGGGGGGGTGTAGTTCTGGGCTGCCTATTTAATAACTGCCCTCCATACTGCCACCTCAAGTTCCGGGTTTAGGGCTTAGGGTTCAGGGTTTAGGGTGGTGGGTACAGGGTTGGTTTTGTTTGCTCGCCGTCCTTCCGGAGGAACCTTTCCACACGGAAGCCAAGCAGCTGAAATCTGCGTCTAGACAAGCCAACGCGCCTTTTCCTACACATACGAACACCCCCAGATCATACACCACAGTTTAAATTACTAGACTTGGATCCTACAATCCCCGCACCGTGCTGACCCCATCAGACCCAATCCGTTGACAGTTTGATTGCGGCCCTGCTATGTGCATAGCACAAAACTGAGGGGAAGTGCCCTCAAATCTAACATACAGACGAAGACAAAACCTTCAACACCACAACCCTAAGACCTCAACCTTAAATCGGCTGAACGGTGCCACCCCTGATCTCCAATTCGCCAAAGAAGTACACTGTACATACATCGCAGTATGTGAACATGTTTGTATGAAGGGGTTCAGGGTCTGTATATACACCTACAAAGCACATCTTATGCACACTAGACACAGTCTAGTCCGACCACACTTCTTGAGCGGGACCTTGAACCCTAAAGTTGCCTAAAACTACTGGGTTTGGGGCTTAGGGTTGCTATATACTAATGATATAATATAACAATAACCCAGAACTACTACTAATACTAGTAGTAACGGTACTAGAAATGATAACCCCAAAAGAAAAGCCGGCGCTCTGCAGCATCTATGGATTGCCCAGGCTGGAGGATATAGGTGTAGGCTTAGCCTTCTACCCTAAACCACAAACCTAACCCCTGAACCCTAAACTAGGTTTTGGATGCATAGAGACCCCTGCCCTTCCCAAATAACGAGATGCAACAACGTCCCTTATCTCCGCCCTCCGCCGAGACCCTCCACCAAAACGTCCTTTTGAGGTGGCCAGAAGAAGGCTTACCCTAGGGCTCCACGTCTATAAATAATACCTACATTGGGCCCCAAAGTCTATAAATATGACCTACATTGGGCTATTTGGAGCCTTAGGGTTAGTAGGGCCCCCAACCTTAAACCCTAAATCCTAAACTTAGAAATACACTCATAGCACAAAAACATACCAGACCTAAACATGAAACGCACGGGATGGTGAGTGCCTACCTACAGTCCCCATGTCTCCTTTAGGAGTTCAGGGTTTAGGGCAAAAGTTCGGGTTTAGGATGCAGGGCTTTGAGCTTAGGAGTGCCTAAGCGCAGAAGAACCCTGAGGGTCCAAGGACTTAAATACTAAGGTTTCTGGGCCCAAATACTAGATTAGTAATGGTATTTAGGCGCTAAAACCTTGGACCCTAAACCCTAAACCCTAAATCCTAAACCCTCAAGGGAAGATATAAGCTGAGAGTCGTACAGAATGAAATTGCTGAAGGGGCCGATGATGTAGAGGCCCGGATGGTAGACGTCAGCTAGGTCTGCGGCCTCTCCAGAGGTGCAGGCTTCAGGGTTTAAGGTTCAGGGTTTATAGTCCCCCTTAAGTAGATAGAATAGAGGGTATATGGGGATCTTCTTATCACATACCCAAAGCCCTATTCCATCTACTTAAGGGGGACTATAGGGTTTAGGTTTCAGGGCGTGAAGAAGCCTATGCTGGGTTGCCAGAATTTGGATCCCTAAGGGTCCAATGACCCAAATAGTAGGATTCCTTTAAAAGGGTTATAGGGGGATACATAGGGATACATAGGGACACATGGGAACGATATAAAGGTCCAAGGACCCAAGTATTTGGGTTTTAGGGCCGAAATACTATGAATATTATAGTATTTGGTCCCTAAAACCCTATTATTTGGGTCCTTGGACCTTTAGGGGATATTATAGCAACCCAGTTTAGGGTCTAGGGGGTTCTGGGCGTTCGGGGCTCCGCGGACAGGGCTATTACTGCTTTAACGGTTTGTGTTTGGTGCCCATTCGCTTCCTAAGATCTTCACAAAAAGAAACCCCTGTTTTAGTATGATCTGGTTTTCTCAGGAGCCCAGAGCCCCCAAAAAGGGAGACGCAGCCTACAGAACCAAGGCTTTAATGCTGTACTTGCTCGGTCTTCCCCACATACTCATGTCTGGCATGTAACTAGCCTCAACCTACGGACCCAAGGCCAGTGGCGTTTAGGGTTTAGGTTTGCGGGGCTTGGGGCTGGGGTTCTTCGGCATTTGACGCGGAAAGGTTTCTCTTCTTTACGAGAAAAATGCAGAAACCACCTGGCTTTTACTGCAACAGGCTTCAAACGTGGCCAACTCCGACTTGTTGCGGCTTTCACGGCTTCTTGTTCAGGATCCTTCTTGCACCTCTAGCCACTACCACTGTCACGCATTGGATTGCTTGGGAAAGCTGGAACCAAAAGTTGCAACCAATCATGACCCCAGAGCCCACAACCAACACCTCAACCAAGAATTTAGCCAACAGCACCAGAGTACTGTGGCGGATGCAAAGAATCTGCATGATCCTAAGTTACATCTTGGACATTTCGGGCCCTAAGCCCTAAACCCTTTATGTCGGGCTTTGACAGTATAGTACGAACATGCAAGGTTAGTATCAACAGTATGGTGACTGATGAACAACGGCCCCGGAACGGACTTTGAACCCCAAACACCTGAAGGGAATTGCTGCGTATAAGTCATGTGGTACTTGGAGGGTCAGGGAGATTTAGAAAGTAGGTCTATAATGGGGATAGCTGGGGTTACTATATGACCTTTCGGAGTTGTAAGTACACTCCCTCCATATGGTAACTCCAGCTATTCCACTTGCTAACCGACTTCTTATGTCCCCTGACCCTC